GTTGGCAGAAGTTCGGCGCAAAATAGAACGTGAGCTTCGGCAGATTGACCAAGGGAAGCTGAACAAAGCTCCGTTGAGGGGGTCCCTTCTGCGCACCTACGTGGCTCACATAGTCACCCGCTCTGCCGTAGAAGTGGGCTTCATGACCGGACAATATGTTCTGTATGGGTTTCGACTAAATCCGCTGTACAAATGTGAGCGTGAGCCCTGCCCCAATTCGGTGGATTGCTTTGTATCTCGTCCCACTGAGAAAAGCGTTTTCATGGTGTTCATGCAATGCATAGCTGCCATCTCACTGTTTCTCAACATCCTAGAGATCCTCCACCTGGGCTACAAAAAGCTTAAAAAGGTTATTTTGAACTACTACCCGCAGCTGAGGGATGATCCTGATGACAGCTACTATCTCAACAAGCTGAAGAAAGATTCTGTGGTCCATCAGACGTGCATCGGGACCTCAACTGGCCGCAAGGCCACCATTGCATCTGCACCCAGTGGATACAACCTTCTGCTCGAGAGACCACCTGATGGAACCGTCTACCCCCCTTTGATCAACCCATCCTCTGCTTTCTTGCCCGTTCAGGGTGATTTGCCTGCTAAAAATGGTTCTGATGCACCAAAGTACTCACAACACAGTCCCACAGAGCACAACAGCAATTCCAATAACACCAGCAGTGACACGCGCTCGCCACCTTGCAACTCCGTCACGCCGCCAAAGCAAGAAGAGGGGGAAGATTCTGTCCACCCACCACCTTCGCACAAGAAAGGGCAGGAGTCCAAGACTCCAGACTCATCGAGCCACCACAGAGAATCTTCTTACTCATCATCTGGCATTGGAAAGAAGCCATGGAAGGCCAGCGCATCACGGAACTGCTCAACGGTTGTAGAAGGCAATGGCTCAGACTCGGATTCCCTGGAAGGCGCTAAAGCCCGCTGTCCCTACGCCGCTGTGCGGGCACGTACTTTGTCCAGGTCCGATTCCAAGCGGAGCAGGCCCACCTCTCCAGATTCAATAGAAGAATCCAGCTCTGAGTCCCGGCATAGTCCACGAGCATCACCAAGCCATCGCGCCTCATTGGCCAGCAGTTCCAGTAGCAGGCGAGCTGCTCCCACAGACTTAAAGATATGAGAAAAACTCACAGATGGTAACCATATAATTTTTGTAGCCATAAATTGATAGAAATGGACCAGAGTGACTGTAAGGTTAACATCTACAGCTTTGATGTTAGCACGGAAGCAATCTCAGACTGAAATTTTATATTCAACTTTATAGAGTGGTAACACTCCTTATGGATTGTTTACACTCTCATTTTATACATATCAATTCAGCAGTACACACTGACAGTATACTTAATTAACAATAGTAGTATGACTACAATACAGGAAATGGATTGTGCGTTTGATTATGTATGCCTTGTTCTCATCTGGACATTTCTCTTTTTAAGTGCTTCTTGCAACAGAAGTCAAAATGGTGTAATGGTTAAAAAATCCCAATTTAACAACATAGAGCTGAATTTAGATCAGCAGTAAAAAAAGATCGGCAAAAAAAGCAAATATATTGTAAAAAACACTGTTATATCTGCATGTCTTATTACAGCTAAATAAACTGATCTGCAATCAAGCCAGATTGAAAATGTATTTGTAAAGTCAGTATTTTCTAAGGATGTGAACAAAGAGCATTTCTACAGATATCAACTAAATCTCAAAAGATTAAAAAAGCAGAATAAGACTGAACGTTGAATTATTTGAAAGTAAAGCACACTCTGACTAATTTCTCTAATGCATCGCTCTGACTAATTTCTAATGTATCTCATCCCAAGCCAAAAGCATGAATTTTATTTATATCACGCTTAATTTCTGAAGAAATAATTCTTGACTAAAGAGAATAATCACAATTTGACAATAGAGCCATTTAAAAGTTGTTTTGATTATTTCTTGTTCTCCCAGAATTTTAATAAGACATTACAGAGTACATGCTCACACATTAGTCCATCTACTGGACTAATGCATATTTATTTTGAGTCTTCACAAAAATATTTATACTTTGACTCGAGATATTAGCAGCAATGCTACTTAATTTTAGTATTAAGAACTGCATTATATTCTGTTTTAGAAAAAGAAAACATTAGTGAAAAACAAAATGCAATCCATGTCATTCAAACTACAAAACTGTTGTTTAAATTAAGCAGATATAGACAATTCTACATTCCTAACTCTTGAATGACAAACTTTACTAACACCATTTCAACAAATCTTACCACAGAAACAAATCTGTTGTTGTCCCAAAATTCCATTGATCATTAAATTTATCTTTTAAATGAATGTTTGACGAATTCAGTGTATCTGTGGTGGTGCTAAAATTGTGAAAACTAAACTGCAGCAGTTTTGCAATCTTGACAGAAAACTCTAAAAGTATAGTTGTGCAATGGCACATAGCCTACATTGGTAAAACTGAACAATACCTACTTTGGCTTTGCAGCCATGTGACACATTGGTAAGCCAGTGTTGTAAAAGTCTTTGGTGCACATAAAACAGGTATACATGATTTATGTGTGGCATTATTATAAAAAAAAAAAAAAAAAAAACAACACTGTTTAATAAAGTTTTGGAAGGTCTAAAAGTAAATGTCAGTTTTATTTTTAATATTAACATTTTTAAAACGACCATATTTGGCATGCATAATGTTAAAAGCTATAAGGTATTTATAAAATAGCTCGCCTCTCATACATCGATCATGATGGCCGACGTGTTAATTGTCTTTTTTTTTTTTTTTTTTTTTTTTTATTCAACTTTTACAAAAGCTTGTAATGACATTTTACAGCAAAAGACAAACACATAATGGGGAAAACACATAACAGATCTTACATTGTACAGAGTAAAACATTAAATTCTACAAACTATTTTTTCCAAAATTTGAGATGTTTTTATGCATTTCTTATTTCTAGTAGTTGAAATCAATGAGTCATGGAATATTTTAATATCTTTACAAAAGAAATTAAAAGATGGTTTTATAGACATTACTTTGGCTTTATGAATATGGAATTTCCCAAGAAGAATTATTAACTTTAAGGTGTTATCAATTATGTCTGAGCCAGTATTACAATCTAAGAAGACAATCATTGCCTCATCTATTCTGATTATTTTGTAGAATGTATCAAAAAACATCATAGAAACTTGCTTCCAGAAGTCTTCAGAATATTTACAATTACAAAATAAGTGTAATAGAGTTTCAGAGCCAATATTACAAAAACAACATAATGGAGAGAAGTCTTTCTTAAACTTATTAAGAAAAGCATTACAGGGATAATATCTGTGTAGTATTTTGAAATGAGTTTCTTTGACCTTATTTGGCAGTAAAAATGTATTACTTGCAGACCAGATTGTCTCAGAAGAGGGGACAGAAGAGAAGAATTGTTTCCATTTCACAATTGCTTTAGGGTAGCAACTTACATCTTGATTAAGACACTTTCTGATATAAGAATTATTACATTTCAGATCCAAAATATTCACACCTCCAATAACAAGTTTAGGAATCTGCCGCAACACTGAGTTGTAACTGAGATGCGCTTTCACAAGATGAAGTAATTTAATGGATATGCTTTTAACAATCATACGGTAGTCTCTACATGTAGATTCAATCCCTGAGAGAGCAATAAATTGTTGATAGTTATAGATCTCACCATTAGAGTTTAATAAGTCAGAAATAAAAATAACTCCCTTATCAAACCATTCTTTTTTATATATACTTTTCCTTGACGTGTTAATTGTCAGTGCAGTCACTTTAGCAAAACAAAGCTGATTCATTTTTGTTTTAAAAAGGCATACAGTTTGTTTAATATCCGGGGCGGGGAGTAGGAAAATTAAAAGAGATAAACAACATTTAACATTTACCAACTATTCTTTATCAGCATTTGAAGACAAAACACCATTTCAGGTGAAAGATCGGGGAAAAAAAAACAACCATTCACACGATTCCGTTTGTCAGGTGACCACCAGGCACATGACTTGGAACGATCCGCCCGCATTTCAACAGCTAAGAAGAGTGACACTTTATTTGTCCAATCAGCATACGAGCTACCTGGTGGCTGCCCAATACACGCGAGTGTCGATCTTAAGTGGGCGTTTCGTCGAGAGGGGAAACATAAGAGACTGAAGATTTAAAGGAGAATCCATAATAAGTTTGCTCTCATCCATTTCTAGTATAACGAGGTTTTATGTTTGTCCTCTCGGCATTTATTTTATGCTGATTATATTACTTATAATCAGCCAGGTTATATTTTAAAGGGGTTGGGGAGGGGGGTCAACATGTCGATCCAGTACGAGGCACCGCTGGCGGACAGCTACGGGGTGGCGGACTCGTTTCCCAAAGATTTTGGATATGGAGAAGAGGAGGGAGACATTGAAGACAGTCCTAGTCCCTCTGACAGCAAACCGAGGATTCTTCTGATGGGATTAAGGAGGAGCGGAAAGTCATCTATCCAAAAGGTAAGAGGAAGATATTTTATTTAGACAGTGTAACTTACGTTCTTTCCCCCTGCTGACTTCTTAGCCGAGCGAGTTAGAACCGGGTCAGAGCCTCCCCGGGCAGCCGAGCTGTCACAGCCGTTACTAACGTCATCAACCTACGTTATTTTTTAAGCAGCGGTGGACGGACTTGGTTGCCACACAGGCCTAATACAGCACATTCAGACAGCTGGCTAGGAATATGTAGCATGTTGATGTCCTATGTTCATGTTGTGATCACTCACCCGGCATTGATGTGGCAGTAAGTTACGTGATTTCATATCAAAACCCGAAATGCTTATTCATACATCACAACCTCTCAACATCGATGATGTATTGTAGATCATACGAACAAAAATGGGTTACAGTTAACTCATTTTTGTCCATGAATTTTAATTTCTTCGTTTTACAATTTTTGCGCATTAAGGCTATTAATTTGGTATGGTAAGTTGTATTGTACATGGAGCGGGCACCCTTGTGTGGGCGCTTCCATGGTGACGTCACATGACCAGCTGTTCCATGCAATTGATTGGGATAACACTACTGATAATAACACGTAATATGTTTATCTTATAGCATTTTCAGCCAGTGCTTAAGCGCTTTAAAAACAATTCTAAATGCACCAAACATTATAACAACAAACTATTTGTAAACAAGCTGTTCCATTTGGTTTGTTGAAACAAGTCACGACTTCCTACAACTTCCACACTGCCAATTCAGGATAAAAGCTGCATCGTCTAGCACTGAACGTGAACACATGACAGTCACAACTTAATTAGCACTCCTGGAGAAGAAAAAAAAACACAGTTGTGAAACCGCAGCATCATTCATCCACGCCAGTAAGTGTCAGCAGTGAGCAAAATATACAATGACTTTCAAGGTATATGAGAGTGTATTAGACATATGAAATCTGTAAAATTATGATTGATAACAGCAGAATTTATTTTAAGCACCACTTGGTTCTAAATGGAAAGTGTGTGAGCAGCATAGTGCTGTTATGTTTACTTTGTGGCGAACATGACTTCTATTTTTTAGTGTCTATTTTGCGAGCGAAAGATGAAATCAGAATTTAAACTTGTATCACTACTAAAAAATAGAAAACCCTTTCAAAAATTGTATATAGTTGAATTATATCTTTTTTTTACTTCTTTTTCTCATTATTTCGCACAATTGGTGTCCGTATAATGTCCAAAACGATTTTTACTAATGATACAGGGGCTACTAAAATAAATAGAAAATGTATAAGCTTTTTGCTAAAAGAGGGCAACCTTTAAGCTTTACAATATAAGAATTTGAATCTGAGGCCTCTGATGCATAAGCCTTGCCATCAGTAAGCTCCTCATGAAGCATGTGACTGGGCTTTTAGTTTGATTTCACAACTGGTTGACTTTATTTCCTTGTGGAGAGGAGACAGATCACTTTGAGAATGCTTTTGATGTATTAAATGTCTTTTATCAGGTGGTGTTTCATAAGATGTCCCCCAATGAGACCCTCTTTTTGGAGAGCACCAACAAGATATACAAAGATGACATCTCCAGCAGTTCCTTTGTCAACTTCCAGATCTGGGACTTTCCTGGACAAGTGGATTTTTTTGATCCTACCTTTGACTACGAGATGATTTTCAGAGGAACTGGGGCCTTGATATTTGTCATCGATGCACAGGTGAAACTGAAAATTCAGTGCATTGACTCTATACACACCCATACAACATAGTGATGCATTTCTGTCAGTAATTCAAGATGACTGGATTCTTTTGTGAAACATTGTAATTACAAATACTGACCAGCTATATAATTTCCGTTGGTATAATATCTAGTAGAGCTGCACAATTAATCGTTAAAATATCACAATCTCGATTCAAACACTCACATGGTCTCATTCCTAAATGACAACAATTTGCCTTTGTCTAATAAACCTTTGACAAAATCACACCAGAACATTAAAATCTGTGGCGGCGCTGCTGCTGACCCAGAGAGAGCGGTTGAAATGTATAGGTATTAAACAGTTTCACATAAACAGTTTTTCAAAGTAGTCAAACACACAGTATTATTATTTCTGTGGTATAGATATTCATATTATCACTGAAGAACTGTAATGAAAGTTTATAGTTTGGATATGAAGACTGTCTACGGTAGAGTGGTCAAAATTACCTTTTAATTGTAACTTGTTGCTTAAAAAGACGATTGTATTGATTACATTGTGACAAGTGACTGTTAAAAATGTATTTGTCATTGAAACATTTATTTAAGAGATTTATTTAAAAAGTGAAGTATTTATGAGTGAGTCATTGAATCATTCATTTAAACAGTCTTCTTTCTATATAATTCATTCAGATTAATTAAACATTTTAAATAGACTGCAGAAATTATTGTAACATTGGTCAGAACCTCTATTATTTTTTTGTTCGGAATCATTCTGTTAGAAACAAACAAAACAAAAAAATCATGATTCTCAATTTATCCAGAATTGTAGAGCTCTAGGTTTAAAAAAACAAACAAACAAAAAATTCTTCTTTTATTTCTAACCTGATAAAATTGAACTTCTCATCAGTAGTTTGTTTACATTTCTAAAATAAAGTAGTTTTAATACAAATTAATAAAAAGAATCCCCTTTCCCATGTATCCAATTGATAAGCTGTTGTAAATATTGTGTTAAATTGCAGTTGAAATGGGTTAATGGTTGTAAATGGTTAGATTATAAATCTTGGCTTGGAGTCCAGACATTCTTGTTTCATTTAATTGAATGTTGTTTGTCATTTAGGCTTGGCTCATTGTATCATTTTGGCTTAAGGTAAAAAAAAAAAAAAAGGCACAAGATTGACTCTATGTTTCTGCTGATACAGAGAAGTCAGTATCTTATCTCAGCACTTCAGTATTTCTTCTAGCTGAAAGTTGTTTTGAAAGGATATGGTTGATTAGATTGCAGATTAGCAAACCCCATAACAAAATGTGTTGTCAAGAACATTCTTTTCTTCTGCTTTTTAGAGGAGACTGACATATTTTTTTTGCATATTTCTTTTGTATTTCTGCATTCTTTTATTTTGTAAATATGTAAAATGTAATTTTCCTCTCAAAGGATGACTACATGGAGGCCCTTGGTCGACTCCACTTAACAGTATCACGGGCCTACAGAGTCAACCCAGAGATCAACTTTGAAGTGTTCATCCATAAAGTAGACGGCCTGTCTGATGACCATAAGATTGAGACCCAGAGGGATATACACCAGAGGGCTAATGATGACCTGGCAGATGCCAGTTTAGAGAAACTTCATCTCAGGTAATCATTTGCATTTTATTTCTGGTACTGTTTATTGATTAGGGGTTAGTTCACATTTGGTATGTTTGAACCGATTAAAATGAACCCTGGTGCGATTTCTCTGTTAGTGCGGTACATTTGAATAAGTTGGCATCCGAATCCTGGTGTGCACCAAACAAGCAGACTGAGACCACTTCCAAATGAACGCAACGCAGAACAGCGGCATGTAAATAAATAAACCAAAAATGGAACATGATGCGACCTTTAAAAAGTAGAGAATGCTCAAGCATACTGTTTTTTTTTCTCTTCATAGTCTCGATATTGCCCATCACAGTTTTAGAATCTGTCTCCTCACAGCAGATCTTCCGTTTGTGTGTGTGACAGAGGGATTCCTGCCGCTATTTTGACTCCTTTACACCTTTTATAAGCTCTTTATGATCACAAGCTCTCAGCTGGTTATCTAGGCTACACACATACAACGAGTGCATTTAACTCAACAAACAGCATTGTTTTGGATGTTCGGTAGGCTCTGCCCAGAATTATACATAATAAAAGCCAACCAATCAGGTTGTGAACATATCTCTATGCCTATAAACATATCCTTATACCTATATGGTTGGTATCTTTTGGTTTCTTTGTTAAAATGGCAATATTTGCATTCACATTTGTATCAATAGTCGTGTTTCCATTACCCTTCAAATTGCGCAAATTGAAATTGCGAATTGAAAATATGCTCAATGGAAATGCACTAATTTCACAAAAACTCCCATTTATTGCAAAAAAGTTTTTACGCTCACATGAGGAGGTTTTTCAGGCAATTCGAAAAAGGAATATTTTGCAAAACTGCAATGGAAACAGTTTTTGCACATTTAGAGTCGCCTGACTTAGAAGACGTCCGTTACCATGATTTTTGGAATTACTTATCCTGAGAGGGAGAAAGGAAGTTTTAGTCGCATAACGGCGTCATTTCGCAATCATGTTTTATCGACATTTAGAAAAAATCGCTAAAGTTTTGCGCAAATCTATAATGGAATCGAGTCTATATGCTTGTATCAATCTCAAAATGGCATCTTCAGATGCTCTGATCAGTTCTCGTAATATTTGGTTGCTGTTTATTTTACTGTAGTTTTTGGGTACCAATAAGGTCATGTGGATGACTGGATTTTAGTATCTGTCAAGGAATAAGCACTTACACAAATGCATTTACATGCTAAAGCCATACTAGGAAAGCAAGAAGCAAGATCTGTTCGGTACAGCAAGTCAAGCATTCAGTTTAAGGGGCTTTAGTGGTCTGGTCAGTGCTACATAAACAACAGGGCAAGGGTGAATTGCAAGCATACTTCTAGAATGTTCTGCTAGTATGCTTGCAATTCACCCTTGCCTGTTGTTGTTCACAAAGCAGTGACCGCTCAAGCACCTTAAACTACACTGTTACCATTCAAGTAATTGTGTTGCTCATTTTTACAAGTAATTGTGTGGCTCATTATATTTTCAGAAGAGAACTTTGCACATCAGACTTATGTAAGGCCATCTAATTCGATCCAATGGCGGTACTCGATTAGAGGTAAAGGTCTCACGTGTTCCGTCTTTTCTCATGACAAAGGGATTTTTAATTAAATGCATTACATTTTATCTTATGTGTTAACTTATTTCATCTGACTCCATAAATGAAAAGGTTTTTCATTGATATCTGTGCATCATTAAATGTATGTGAATGTTTCACTATTCCTTTTTAACTGAAAATAAAGTCAAAGTCTAGCTTACTGGGCGGAGAAGTTGATTTACATGGTACCATTTGCTAACGGGAAATTAGCATTGAGTTCACACCTTTTGAGAGCAGGAGGGCTTACCCATCCACCCTCCTTTGTGTGTATGTTATTTAAAAACCTTATTACCTTTTGTTTTACTTATTTGGAAATAGGACACTTGTACCAGTTGCACTTGTAGACATTTCAAATAATACTAAACACATGTATAAAACTGTCTGATAGTTGTTCAAATTAAAACGAAATAGATTCTTATGTGAGTTTGGGTGAGGTCCTTCGTCTCATACACCAGCGGTCTATCTCTTCAATCAGTTTTCAGTTTTCCAGTCTTTCACTATGAGACGATATTTTATTAAGTCTGAGGCTGCTGTCCAACACTGCAGAGCCTTTAAGCTACTTCTGTTCTGGCAGATTCTGCTGTCTTTTGTCTCTGTAACACTTTGTTCATTTGGCAACAGATGCTGTCTACAAAAACTTACAAATTTTAGCCTCCCCAAAATATAGTAATGCAACTGTTTTAACATAAATACCCCACTAAGACGGCCATTTTAACCGTGTAGTGGATTTAACTGTTCATCACGCGCACATATGCATGTGAGATTGCAGTTGTCAGGAGTGCATGTTATGAGAAACGTTTATTTAACTACCCTGAAATTTTGTTTGAATAGTTGTGCCGTTTAAACATTTGCAACTAGATCTTATCTGTGCTGTGCCAGACAATGAACACAAATAAAATCTTAATTGATTCACTGCGTAAATGCGGTTAAGTGACTTTTACCAGTACCATTAATGCGAACCTAAGAAAAGCATTACATTGCATTTGGATCACTGTGTTAATAATCGGTGAAATGAGAGCTGAATCTTTCGGATGTTCAGTATTTCATTCTGTCTAAGGAGTTTTTTTTTTTCTGTCCTCTGCAGTTTCTACTTGACCAGTATATATGATCACTCCATCTTCGAGGCCTTCAGTAAAGTTGTCCAGAAGCTCATCCCTCAGCTTCCCACACTGGAGAACCTTCTCAACATCTTTATATCTGTATGTGTCTCTACCTCAAGACCCTAATGTTTCTTGATGGTTGCACCTTAATGAATTTCCATTCCCTCTTTGGTCACTACCTTACTGTCGTTATGAAGAATATATAGTGTTGTTGTTGCAGTGGAAATAGCTCTCCATCTCCAATGCAGTCATGCTCATGCATGTTTTATTATGCTCTCAATGCTGTAAGATCCCATTTCAAACCCTGCAGGGCATTATGCAATGTGTGTATGTGTGTTTTTGTGCTAACAGAATTCAGGGATTGAGAAGGCCTTTCTGTTTGACGTCGTCAGTAAGATTTACATCGCCACTGACAGTTCACCGGTGGACATGCAGTCCTACGAGCTCTGCTGCGACATGATTGATGTGGTCATCGACGTCTCCTGTATTTACGGGTCAGACTTTGTATATGATATCTATCTATCTATCTATCTATCTATCTATCTATCTATCTATATATCTATCTATCTATCTATCTATAAAAATTATGTACTTTTTCTCTGGAGAAATGGAGCTCACATTTTGTTAACATTATTTTTAGCGTGCTTTGTATCAGTTCTGCATAGTGTGAGCATGTTTTGATTGTGTAGATTAAAGGAGGATGGCAGTGGCAGTGCATATGATAAGGAGTCTATGGCCATCATCAAACTCAACAACACCACAGTGCTGTACCTGAAAGAGGTCACCAGGTTCCTCGCTCTGGTCTGCATCCTGAGAGAAGAGAGCTTTGAGCGTAAAGGTACACCTCAGCAAAACTGTTTTACTGGTGGATTTTATTTTAGCGGCAGGTCTTCGGTTCTTTTTAATTCTCCTTTTTGTGCCACAGGATTGATAGACTACAATTTCCACTGTTTCCGGAAAGCCATTCATGAAGTGTTCGAAGTGGGTGTTTCCACTTCAAGGACAAGCAGTCAGCCAACTGGCACCCCTCTCATGAAGACTGTTGCCTTAAACGGAACCCCCAGGAGCACTGTGTAGATAGATGGCAATGAAGACAATGATAAAAAGTGCGGAGATGATGGAAAAGGTAATAAGAAGTCAAGATGGGCTGCATTCTGAGCATGCTGACCATTGCTGCTCCCAAAAGCTTTATAAACAGAAGCAAAAGAGTTTAAAAGAGTCATTAAAATAAACTTGCTGCAGTGGGTGGGGCAGAAATGTAACATGGGTTAGCTTGCAAAGCTAAGCTACAGATGGATGGAAGGAAGGGAAGAGGCACAAAAGAAGGTGGAACACTTTTTTTTGTGACTAAAAGGCATTAACAAACGGTTCCTCAGGAGAACAAGTAACAAAGTGCAAGTCACTGAGGAAAAAAACAAAAGCACATCAAGAAACCTCTCACCCCGTCAGGCCAAAGTGTCTGACAACTTGGATGAATGCTGTATGATATGCTGCTGGTCACTTAACACAGTAGCCAAGTTTAAATACAACCCTGGTTTACTCCTCAACACGTGAATGTTGCAGACTTCTGTGAAACTTTGTGGTGCACAAAATGTACGAGTATACTTCTGAAGCCTTATGTAGAGTTTGCCTGTCTGATACAAGCCCCTCGTGCACATATGCACACTCGGTCACCTAAACAACCCATGTATTTCGTATGAAAGGTTACTAAAGGGATTGCAATGTAGATTTTGTCTTGTGAGTGTGTATGTGTGTGTGTGTGCGCGCGTACATGTAAATGTATGTATTCAGTGGAGAGGGTGGGTGGGTGTGTGTTGCATATGCACTGGTTCAGGGCCCAAAGTTATCACACATGGGAGAGCGTTTGAGACTCCGAAGACTGAGGAAAAAGTTGTACCGTTCCATTTGACCTCTTGGACACTGTGATTGCACTTACCTTAGAAGATGTCAGGGATCCTAACTAACAAAATTCAAACTGGTATGCTGTACTGTTACTCTCCCAGTTACGTTATGGCATCCTTGGCATGTAGCTCATGCAATCTGAGGACATTGTAGGACGAACCTTAATATCTTTCATTACGGTTCTGAGGTGCCAATGCAGTTGTGCTCACATTTATAACTCACTAATCTTTGCTTTCACTCTTCTGATCACCAATCACCATGATGATTTTGAGTCGGAGAAAATCTGCTGTAAATTTAAGATATTAAGGAACGCCGAAGTGACAGGACATTTGAATCAGTTAAATCCATTCCAAGCATATCCGTAGAGATGCTTCACATTATCTTGCAATCAGCTCTGTCATTTATAATTTAATGGAAACTGAATGAAATCTGAAGAACACAAACCAATTGATCTTTAAGCCTTCTTGTGATTCTTGTTTTTAAGACTACATACAGGACACAAATTATGCCTGTCTTGCGTTTTGCCAAAGGTGTTATCATTCACAAATAAAAACATGTACACACCGGAAACAGTATTCATGTTCTGTCTTTGACTTGGCCACGCATGCAAGATGGACATAATTGTAATATGCTTAATTTGGACCTGTACCTAAGAAGCTTAGGACAGTTGCTAAAGGGGGGAAAAATAAACAAATATTTTTCAAGGAACAGAAGAGTATTCCAGATAGCAGGTTATTTGACATACCCGGGTATGTTTAAGAGTAAGTGGATAATCTCAACATTCGGTTCCAAAAATGGAGGTAACTTTCAGGGTCCGTTGCTGGAACCCACATTCCCATTAAAGCTCCTCGAGGGAGGCGTCAATGAAGGAGACTATGCCAATAGGAAGTCAATCCATAGCATCAATGTGCAGGTGATAATAGATTTTTTTGGGTGCTAAATGTTTAAACCATAAAATCAACCTCACTACTGGACCCCACTAACTGGTAATATGTGATGCAATCATCCTTAATGTTGAAGCCAAATGGCCAGGGTCTGTACATGATGCCAGAATGTTTAGGGAGTCATCATTGTGTCACAAATTTCACCAGGATATGTTTTGCTTTACACAATGTTTTTTACACTTTAACTACCTTTATAAGACAATGGTTACTTGCTGGGGGACAGGGTACACTTGTCTGCCCTTTATGATGACACCCTACCCTGAACCTGAGCCTGGACCACAGGCACAATTCAACCTGGCCCACAGCAGAACAAGTTGAGGTCAAGGTGGAAATGACCATAGGCATCATGAAGGGAAGGTTTCAGTGCCTGCGTGGGCTAAGGGTCAGCACAGAAAGGTCATGTGACATAAAGTAAAATACTTAAATAAATAAACAAAAACCATACAATTAAATAGTTGTCTATTTTTACTACATGTCCCAATTAACTTTTGTGTCACAATGATAGGGTAAATTAATAGCCAATTTATAATTTTCTAAACTCACGCAGTTATTTTTTGGCAAGCCTGTTGCTGATGCAGCAATATTGATTTTTTTTTTATTATTTATTTATTTATTTATTTTTATTATTATGTTTTTAAAAAAAATTATAGGAATAATGGGCTTAAAAGTCTTAATAAGCAAGCATTAAAACCTCCCCCTTGGTTTCTATGGTGACTCCTAAAATCGACGATCCATTGAAAATGTCTTTTATGTACTCGCCGTGCGATTAAATTAACTCACGGTGTTTTGAAAACGACATAGCCTTGCCAGAGTAAGCAACCAACAGTTTAATGTTTATCTGACGGTAAGTTAACCTTGCTTCCACACCCAGTTCATCCAAAAATGAGAATAGCTTTCATGTTGCTCAAAGCAATGTCAATATGGTTTTGACTTTAGGGAAATTCACAAACTGGTAAAATGTAGGCTATGCCTTGACTGAGTTGAATGAAACGTGTTTCAATTACAGACGAGTCTGACATTTAGCTCCATAATGACGAAAAAACACTATACGTCCATATATGACTCTTATTAAATATTCGAAGTAGGCCTGGCGTAATATAAAATCTTTGTGCGCCGAACAGACTGAAATTTATGTCCTAAATAAATCTTGACATCCGCCAATCCTCGAGTCGAATTAGATTTCACACAACTCGTTACAGCCAACGTAAATAATTATTAATCAGTAAAAATCAGTTAAAAAAAATTTGTCACAAAGCTGCCACACAAGTGAAATATAGGCTACTAGTTTTTCTAAAATTCATTTATTTTTTCATGTCTGGAGCATAAACGCTGACTTAATGTTCATTTTAAATTAAACCCAAAAACTCAACGAGTTGTGTCATTTAACGTTAGTTTTAAATGAATGAATTATGTATAAAAGGTTTGCCTTTCATTCTAAGCGGATCATTTTCTTTTGAACATTCAATTTTTGACAGAACGGGGGCGCCAGAGCACTGCAATTAAACTTATTAAACTGTTCCAACAAAAACACATCGGCTGGAAAGGAAATGTCATGCATTGTCTACAACTCCAACTACTTCTACCCTTTCTTTATATAGTAATATTAGATAGTATGCTAGTCAGGTGCTGAGATATGTCCCAGGCATTTGATAGCCTACCTCAAACATCCTTTTATATTTTTTTTCCTTCATTTTAGGTCCTTATAAAAAGCATAATTAAACAATGTAGACCAACACTCACTGTAAATAGTATAATAATTAGGGGATCGTTGTATATTTCTGAGTGCTAAAACTTAATTCAGTTCTACGAGAAGCCTAACACTGGCAACACCATTACTTGAGCGGTCTTGTTTAAAATACGAGCTTGAAAAACGCAGTATCACAAGCCAATAAAAGCAGATAGGCCTACGGCTTGCAACTACTGTCACAACAACTCATTATAAGAACCCACATCAACGCAATTTACTGCCAATAAAACACTGACAGCATTTCTGTCCACTTCATTAAGCTTCTAATTTCTTGTAAATATTTTGCATAATCCCTTAAATGACTTGCGTAGGCTACTGTAGAAACGTTGGCCAAAACAAGCAGCTCTTCATGCAACTTGTGAGAGAATAATTAAACAATTCTGTTAGATTAAGGGTAAGAATTACATTTAAGAAAAAAAATAGTATCCACCATATTCCTATATTGACCAGTAGGCCTACCCTAGAAACAAAGCATAGACCTATGACTTGATACATTTTTGTATGATAAGCGTACTTGCAATTATTCTGAAGTACTGAATATAAGCATTATGTGTAATGAAATATGTTTAAGTTGTGTTAGGCTATATTAGTGATCCAGACATTAAGATTAGCCTATAAACTAGTCACACTACTGAGAGGAACTCAAGAATCAGATAATTCTGATATTTAAATCAATCATTTGTGAACTAGACCAATCAAATTCACCAAAAAAGATCTGACTAATATCAGACAATGGTGCTTCTCCCACTTATCACATTATTGTTGCTTATCCCATTATAGTTAGGCTACTGTAAAACCATGTATATACAGTAATATGTGATGTCCAATAAACATTAGAGGCTTTCAAAATTAATAAATTATGTGCTTTTTTATTTGTTTTAATTCCAAGTTACCACAGCTGTTGCATAACAACTGTAGTAGGACTCATTTATTCAAAAAAGACCAAATTAAGTGGATTTCTAAATATCTTTATAAAGAATGCACTAATAATCATCAAAATGAAAACAAAAAACAACAACAACAACAAAAAAACAGTTAAAATAAGTAATAAATATTTTATTTTCAAATTTACTGTCATCTTTAAGCTTTTACCATGGCACAATAATGTTATGGTTCAAATGTAGGCTATGTAGTCAAAGTGATTTTCTGAAACAAGTGTTTGAAGAGAATCTCTTGATAATGCTGTTTGAATCCACTAGATGTCGCCAATGCTTTTGAATTAGACCGGAACAATTCTGCCTGTCTCTCTTTCTCTACGGCTAGTTATTGTTTGTCTTGTCTCTCTCTCTCTCTCACCCTTCCAGTGGCGACCAACATGCTAATGAAATGTTAACATCACGCACTTGTACAATGAGGGAGAAACCAGCATGATGTACAACTGTAATTTGGCTGAATAGCAGCTACTGAAATTGCTTTGCTTTATCAAAACTGACGCGGGCGGCCACACACACACCCCTCCGCTCTCAGACGCTAATGACCAGACTAATAATTGGGAACGCTTACCGCGACTACACCTCAGCCCAACCGCAATGTTGATGTGATTGTGTTACAGTCCGAACACCAAAAAGTCTCAAACTTTTCTGATGGCTAGTTATGCTAAGTTTAGAAAGTGCCACACTGAAGTGGAATGATAGACATTGTCAGCTGTGCATTGACTTTTATCTTGCGTCACCGTAGGTGTGAAGTAGATGAAACAATGCTTGGTTCTTCCTAAATAAAGCGACAGGACTTGAGGAAACTGTGCTGGTTGCCATTTCTCCAGGTGCTGGTTATTTTTTACATCAAGACAACGCCGTCTGGCAGCTCCGAGATCTGAGCGAGATGTCCTGTGAGGAGAGATCTGTCTTACAGGAGCAGGGCTCTGATTGTGAATTAGGGACCTGATCTGCTGGCCTGTCCTACTCTGGTATGGATCAGAGAAAAGCAGTAGTCATACCTCAGCACTGTCAGGGCCCTCTTTTATTAGAGTGCTGCTTTGCCAACAAAATCCAACACCAGACAGCCTCTAGTCATGACAGTAGGAACGGGGGGAGGGAAAAAGGGGAAGTAAGGAGCGAGACAGGAGCGCCGGTCGGATTCTGTATTTTTTTTGTGTGTGTTGGGCCATCAGAGCGTGTCGAGCCGGGGCAGTCAGCCAGCAGCCGGCTAATGGGCAGCGCTGGGTCGACTGTGACTAAAGGAACAGCGACAGATGCCATTATCTCAGCCTCGTGCAGATACAATGTCCTGGACAACTCAGCCCAGTGCCGAAGTTGCGTGTGCGTGCTTGTTTAAACTTAATGGAACACGATGGATCGGGTAATCGCCGGATCTGGATGGCCCGTTCCTCTCTCGCCTGTCTTAGGCTGTGTAGACGCACATGAGACACGTCGCTCAACTTGCCTGTTCCTCATTGTCTATTCACAGGCATCATGAAAAACATATTGCCAGCCTTCCGCCCTCATCAGGTTTGGGTTTAAAATGTGTACTTTTCGCATCGCCAGGGATGTTCTGGTGGCGGGGGGAGGGTCATTAGGCAACGTTTTTTGAGGGTATACCAAATGTGATCCATGCTCGCTTTGGTGCAGTGATGTGGGACAGCTATATGGCTGTTGACAGTGGATTGGCACCCATCAAGCCATTTGCTGGAGTCTCCAGTCAGACGTGAAGCTGCCGAGACTAACCAAAGAGGGGGAGAATGGCATATGCATTTGAATGTGGTTCATTTTGCCCTTTTTCTTCCTCTACTTCCTCTTCATCCATAGGCAGTGGCAGATGAAGTGACCAGGCTGTTCTTCCCCAAGTCTGCCTGCCACTCCAAACGACTGCTTCTGTCTTCCTTCTTTCTCCCATCTCTTTTGGTGTCTTGTAGGTTTATCTTGACACTGCTGGACTAATCAAAG